ACTGGGTGTTGTGCACGAACAATGAATCATGGAACACTTCATCTAGAACTAATGATGTAATGTATGGGGATTAACATAAGAATAAAAAAAAAAAGGCAAAAAAAAAATATATGATTCACTCTCATCTGGCATAAAGGATGATGTGAAGATATTAAAAAGAAGATGGAGGAGAATGGAGTTATCAGTAGGTGAATTACAGATGGTCTTGTCAGAGAACATGTCAAAATGATTTTTAAACCGACTCTCTAACGCTGCCTGGGCTCACAGTGTCCCTTAGCTCCTGGGACACACCATTGCTGCTCTCCCAAGTACAGGGTGGGCGTGCTGTATCCCTTAACAACTGATACAGTGCCTCTGACACAGAGCAAGGAGTCAACACGTGTGCTTTCCATGTAATACCGAGAACTGTTCAGGAGTGACGTTGATCTCTAGGTCAATGTAGGTGACAATTTATGTTTGGGACTTTATTTCATTTCATGCCAAGGATGAAGTAACATTGTGAAAATAAAGTATTATGTGTGAAAGAAAGAAAAAATTGACTCTCTAGCCCCTGGAGGTAAAAGGCTCCTGGGTTATCCTGAGATGCCTTGGGTCCTATTATGAAATTCGCATAGTTTTGAAGAATTTATGGTTTCTAGAGTCTCTTTTTTAATTATTATTATTATAAGTCAAGCAGAGAAAGACAATAGTCATATGGTTTCCCTCATATGTGGAACATGAGGAATCGTGTGGAGGACCACAGGGGAAGGGAGGGAAAACTGAATGGGAGGAAATCCTGGAGTCTCTTGACAACAAGACGACAGATGGGTTCTAAGGACTTCCTATCCCTTCTCTGTGGAACAGGCTCTCTTTAGGTCTAGGAGAAGACTGTGTAATCTAGCATGTTGCAGACCTTGGAACGGAGCACAGCCTGTACTACTGATCTGATGACAGAAGCCACATAACGATCCAGACATTCATATTGTGTCATATCAGGGCAGCTCCTACCCATCTGCCCAAGGTTGACACTGGTTCCTGGCTTGTAAATATTTTCCCTCATCTCAAACTTCACCTTATTCTTCTGACTCTGTTCTCTGACAGTACATATCACAGATTTCCCTGGATGATTATCAGGAAACGTAGTAAGTTACGTGGATCTTCTAGTAGATCTCTCCTTAAACCTTTGATTTCTTGAGATCTTTTTTGCGTAGTAGGATCTGGAACACTGCCTTTTGAGAACTGACAGGTAATTTGTCGGAAGTAGATTATCATTAATTTTATAAGTTAATCCAATTGACGCATTAATGATTTTGTTATTTTAAAACGAAAAGACAGTGAAAATGTTCTGTCTCTACAGGGTGTCGCCAATGTCTTCAGCACTGCCTATCACTATGTGCACAGCAGGGAGCACATCCTGCATGTTGTGATCAGGGGCATTGGCTGGCTCTGTGATATCACATCTGACATCACCACCATTACGACGTACTTTGTTGAGCCCGGCCCAACGCGGGTAGGCAAGGTTGGGCAGTGTTAGACCTCTAACAGAGTTTCTAGATATTATTGTCTTGCTAATATTTTTTAAAAGATTTTATTTATTTATTT